TAGAGGCAGACTTTACCACACCTTAGTAAATTTATTCCGGGCTGCCGCTGACAAAATATGTCATAAAATAACCTTTGGAAAGTGTAGATATCTGGGAACAGGTTTATGCATGCAGTGGTTAATAGTTTTTTTAACTGTGACTACACTTTTTGACGACTGGGGGGAAGATACTATGGTCACCGTTCAATATATGCAGCAGGAAAAGCACAGGCTGATATCAGGAAGCCAAGTAAGGCTCGATGCTAAGTGATTTATAAAAGCCTTTTGGAATCTAGCATGTTTACATGGTGGAGCACCTTTGTAAATTTATTTCGAGCTGCCACTGACACGGCTGAACTAAATGTAAAAGAGAGCAATAATTGGTTTAACTGTTTTAGAAACAAATACACTCCAATCTGTCTTTTCAAAGCCATACATAAACAGATGAGAACATAAAAATACAGCTGTTACCAAATTAAATAGTGTGACAATTTTTTAATATTTTTAGTTTTATTATTAGTCGGCCTTGCGGGCAAACCGAACAGTGAGGTGGAATGAGAAGGCTGAGACTTTCATGTATATTCAGCTGCTGAGTCTAATTTATTCTTTACTAATATACTGTATGTCCTCTGCACCTGTCTAAGAACAGATTATTGCTATGTGTTCTGCTTCTTTAACCATACAGTTTCCATCTATCTGCATAACTGGGATTATGTAGGTAGATGAAAACTGTATGTTGATCGTTAACATTCCTGCAAAGAAAATCTGTTTGCTTGCCCGAGCAGTCGATGTATATGCAGAAGCGAGCCCTGCTGTTCAATCATGTAATTTTTTTTAAATTATGAAAATCTTATTTTATTTTTTACTCTTTCCGCACACTGTAGTAACAAGTGTTTATTTGAGGAGCATAATCATTATGTATATTTGTGTGCAAGTTGTATAACATACAGTAGAAAAGTGATCAGCTCAGTTATATTGTAAATCTATAGTAAATGTGGATTACATGAACACTGTAGCACATTGTTCACCTCTGCTTCTGCATATATATATCATACCCTGCTTCTGCATACATATATTTGTGTGTGTGTGTTTTTTTTTCAGACGTGGTTTATCAGTTGCCAACTGTTAAAGTGTTCGCCTCCTCTGATGAGGAAGACGAGCCTTCCTTCTCCTGCTTTGCCACCGATTTTTCACCAAAAAGTTATAAGATCAAGTGGCTGAAAAATGGTCAGGACTTCAACAACCAAACAGACAAGATCGAAACAACTTCCGAGGGGAGAAAGGACAAGAATGGTACTAAAATGTACAGTGCAGCAAGTTTTCTCAAAGTGAAGTCCAGTGATTGGTCTCTTTACCCCCGTACTGAGTTTACATGCCTGTTTGAGGGGAAAGGTAAAAATGACATTCCAGCCTACAAGAATTCATCTGTAGTCTACAAAGACTGTGGTGAGTAAATTGATACTTTTTTCGTAATGTTAATTTAATTTCACTTCTCATGGTTTTGCAGCCATTTCGTTTTAATGATGGTTCATTAATTCCTCACTCAATAGGTACCCCATGTCGTGAAAACGTGCAAATAAAGATCGATGGCCCCTTAACGGCGGAGTTGTTTTTAAACAACAAAGCATCTTTAGTATGTACAGTCCAGATAGATGAGGCAACTCCTCCCAAGATGTGGTGGGAAGATGGTGACAGAAAAGAGCTGGTTGGTACCACAACAGAAGCTGTAAAAGTAAAGAAGAACCAATTCAGCCTTACTCTTGACATCTCGTATGAAGAATGGAGCCGTGGGATAAAGCGCTACTGCGTTGTTGAACATTCAACATTGCTTGAACCAATGAAAAAACTCTATGAAAGGAATATTGGTAAGAAAACTGTTCCACAATTGTTTGCTAAAAGTGTTTTATTTCTCTTATCATGCCATGAAACATTATAAGTGTATTTTGTAGGACATATTTCCTTCAGTACTGCAGGTACTTTTGTCTGTGGTAGGAATCTAATTGTTCTCTCACGCTTGCAGGAGGACCGATTCAGCGTCCTTCAGTGTTTATGCTGCCTCCAATAGAACATACTAGAAAAGAAATGGTGACCCTGACTTGCTATGTGAAAGACTTCTTCCCTCAGGAAGTTTTTGTGTCTTGGCTTGTTGATGACGAGGAACCAGACTCAGGCTATGAGTTCTATACCACAAACCCTGTAGAAAACCATGGATCCTATTCTGTTTATGCCCAATTATCAGTCAGCCTTGATCAGTGGAAACAGAATGACGTGGTGTATAGCTGTGCAGTTCACCACGAGTCTGTTGCAAACACAACTAAAGCTATTGTCAGATCCATCGGGTACAAAACATGTGAAAACACCAACCTGGTCAACCTCAACCTGAATGTCCCTGAAACATGCAAGGCCCAGTAGATGTTATTTTCTGTCGCTGTGTCTTCTGCTGTTTGTTGTTTGATGTTTGTTGCTTGTGATATGACATTGTGTTTGTCTTTTTAATGCAGATTAAAAATCAAAATAAAAAAAAGCACTTTGCAACTCTGTTGTTGTATGTCGCATGCAGTTCATGTCTTTATTTAACTAATATTTTGAGCTACATGTTTATTGTGTACTGTCACAGTGCTATCCCTGTTCAACTCAAACCAGGTGTAGTTATGAGCATGTTTGAGTTTTAAAGCACAATAACAAAATATTAAACTTTCAACATCATGTTATTTTCACTAGAATAACACACCACCACCCCACTAACTTTAGTCAAAAAATACATTTAATTAACTTTTGTTTATTTGTTTTTATATGTTAATTTTTATTTGTAGGTGGTGTTTGGTGGTCAACAGTGTTTGTGTGACTTGTCTTCGTGTATGTGTGTTTCCTCTACTTGGTCTTGCACCCCCAACACAAGACAGATGATTATTTAAAGTTTAACTCCAGCTCTGTGGTCTCTCAGTCGGATGATAAATATAGTGATTCACAAGCCAAGTCATGCATACCACACCAATAAACGGGTCTTTCAAAAGCAATTCAGGATCATTGTAGGACAAATGTTTTCTTTTACATTATACATAAATGGAGTGGAGTTGATAAATGAGAAGGACAGTGCAAAACAATTATGCCTTTTTGGTAGACAGTGTAATAAGTATCAAGACATATACCATTACTGTTTTCCTTCACTTTTGGTGTCTATTTCATACTTGGATTGACAACTAAACTAATAAAATTTTACTGATCATATCCAATCTGACCTGTGAGGTTATAAAATATATAACCATGCTAAAGGAACTTAATAGAATTTGATCATTGTCTCAAGAGCTATTGTTCAAATACGCCAGTGGATTGTCCCAAATACTAATTGATTAATTGCTGTACACTACATACAGAGTTCCTGAACGAAACTAACATCCAATGGAACTGTATCACAGAGGAAGATAACATGGCGGTGGCAGCCGTCACCTTCATCCTTCTCTTCTTCATCACTCTGCTGTTCACCATTGTAACCACTTTTTTCAAGGTAATAATGATTTTATTTGTTACAATTCTGCACAGGTTTTGGACAAAAAAAGACAATTGCATTCAGTTCAAACAAGACAGATGAGTTGACAGAAAACTCTTAACGTGAGGAATGAAATAACAGTAGGTTAATACAAGGAAAAACTATCTGAAACACGATAAACTTAAAATGAAAATCACCTCTGTAAAGCATAAGGAATTTTACAAAGAGAGGTGCTGAATCAATTCTGTGGTATGTTGAGTTATGTCACAAAATTTAAGGGCTACTATACTGAATTGAGTTATATTTTCAACGTGTTGCTGTTATTGTGTGTTCAATAATATTCCAAGTATATAAAATATATTTCTCATAAAAGAATTAGGCTAAATCAATTACTAAATAAGCACAGCAAACTATAACAGCAAGATTTAACATTTAGTTTATGCCGTATGTTAAGACATTTATTTTACAAATCATCAGAAAATTACATGGTGAAATGCCTCTCTTAACAATTATGAAGTTTATCTCAAGATGTCTTTGAAATCAAAAACAAATGTGTAGGTTCCAGTTTTACTTAAAATTTTACTTGAAAGGATATCCTTACAAAGAGGTCAGGCGAGCATTCAAGATTCATGTTTGCATTATATATTATGATGCAGTAATGTTGTAACTGTAATGTGCATATGTCGGTCATATGCATTTACATTATAAGCACACATGCAAATGATGACAAATAGAAGGAAGAAATCATTTTGGTGCAATATTACTAATCCACATTTATATGTTTTTCTGTCTTTTCAGATTAAATGAAATGAGGCAAACTTTCTGTAAAAAAACTTTCACTTTTTCACACATTTTGCTTAGAAACTCATAGTATCATGTAAGTAATTATCATTGTGCTTTTTTCATCATAATTACAAGCTTTGTGTCTTTTTGAAAATAAATGTTTAAATGAAGATAACCATTGATGTTGCTCCTCCAATTTTTCTCTCCTCCATTATTTTAAAATAGTTCATACTGTCTATAGTTTGATCTATATAGGTTCAGCATGTAATACTAAAATTCTATTCATCTATTAAAAACATTTTCTAATTATATTTTATGTGTTGTGTAATAAGCTGTTCATGCTGATCACCTCTTCAGCACCTGGAATCAACAGTCCATGTTCAACTCAGTATGTAAATTCAGAGATTTCACAGTCGGTTAGTTCTCGAGTCTATTAATAATAGCCCCTGAGAACTAAAACCTTCAACAAAGTCTTGAGAAGCCATGTCAAATGTATCTGATAGCATATGTAAACTGATATGAGATATTTAAATGTGCACTCTGTTTCTCTTACTGGCATAGCCACACCTCACACCTGGCGTCTGTGATGCACCGTTGCTCTTTGTATTGTTTCACTTCTGTATTTTGGTACTTTTTTGGGACCTGGTTGTTACTCAATGCTTCCGCTTGCTGCTAGCCCTGATCACTCTGCCCTGTCATGCTGCAACATCTGTGCAACAGGCTTCCAGCCCTATCTCCACCTGACTCGAGCAGACATTATAAAAGCACTCTGCCATCTAGCTTAAATACAAAGACATTACACTTACAATTGAGACAACACAGTTGGTTAGTTGACAAAAACCTGAAGGTATGTATAACTGAAGAGATTTAATCAGTGCATATTGTCCACATCCAACATTTATAATGAAACAAGTAAAAACAAGATAACCTCTTCCCTATCCCAGGACTGCGAGTTGTGTCTCCAAACATCACACTATACCCTGTCTGGGAAGGAGAATTGGGGTCCTCACCAGTCAGACTCATCTGCACCCTAAGTGGCTTCTTACCAGACAAACTGAGTGTGACCTGGCAACAGAACAACCAACGTCTAAACATTGTACCAATTCAAAGAAAGCTGCAGAGTGTGGAGGGAATGGAGAAAACCTTCAGTCTAAGCAGTGAGATTGAGCCAAATATGGAACAGTGGTCAGATGGCTCAAATTTTACATGCAAGTCCAACCACAACAACAAGGAATTCATAAAAACAATAAGTTTTTGCCAAAGTAAGTATGTGCAGCTACTGTCTCAGTGCACAATATGTAACAGATATATCATTCATGTTTTAAGATTAAAAAAAATCCATGTTGTCTTAAAATAAGTACTTTGAATAAGATGTATCATTTCACATTGAACATTTATGTTTTTTTCCTGCAGTCCATGCAAGAACTACTCCTTCTATTCATGTGGAGATTCCCAGCTTCAAGACAGTAATGGCAGCAAAGACTGAGGTGAAGGCAACATGTTCAGTCCTCACTGTGTTTGATGCCAAGGTGACCTGGCAAATAGATGGGACAGACCCAATCAAGAACCAAGTTAACCTGGCCAGAAACACATCTCATTTAATAAGCACTCTGACGGTTTCCTCAAGTAAGTGGAAACGGCTGAAGGTTGTAAAATGTAAAGCTGAACATCGCTGCTTCTCATCCACTGAGGAGACCGTAAATGTTTCAGGTAAAAGGATTAGACAAAATAATAAGTGTGGAAATGCTGTGTTAGTGAAGTGACCAAAAATAAATACCTCTGCTTTTTTGTCTTTCTGTATCATCCAGAGAATGCTCTTCGGGCTCCTTCGGTTGAGATCAGGAGATCTCTCCCAGATTTGCTGAAGGGAAACAGTGCTGTGCTGGAGTGTGACGTCACAGAACTCTCCTCCAGTGACCTCTATATCACCTTTCAGGCCGACGATACTGACATCTCTGAAAAACTTTATGTTGATCTTCCTGAAACGCCAGGCCCCCATTCAATCAGTAGACGATTCCTTGTCCCCCAAAACCACTGGAATAATGACACAAGTTTTTCCTGCAGAGTAAATCAAGGCCTCAACATGAGTTTCAAGTCAAAAGCAACAGACCATATTTTTGGTGAGTGTTGTACTCCTTTTTGTTTAAAAACTGTTGATTTGTTACTGCCATTGTATTTTTTCTATTTAAATTAACTTAAAATGTGCCTGATTCAGTTTTAATTCATTTATTCATTTGTTGACATATAGGGGACCCATCAATTGAGCTCCTTCTGCTCCCCAGTGAGGAGGAAGGACCACAGAGACTTGTATGTTCTGGATGGGGCTTCGACCCTCAAATTAAATGGTTTGATGAGTCTCAGGAAAGATCTTCTTCAACCAATGACATCAGCATGAATGCAGATGGACGTGTGGCAGTAACCAGTCAACTTCATATCCNNGAAGGTCTTCACTTGTGAAGTATCCGACAAGTCCTTGGACAAAACCATTGAAGATTACATCAGCCTCTGCTCAGGTACAATTAAGGAGAGACTCAACCTCAGCTGTTTACTAGGAACACTTTGACCTTCCAAAAAGTGTTTTGAAATGTAATGTCACTATAGTCTTTTACAAGTACTGAGTTTTTTTAAGATTTGCAAACTGGTACAAGTAATCACAAAATCAGTTCATATGCTGGTGATATACAGTAATACTTATCAATTAAATACCTACTATCAAAAGACCTGCAGTCATAGATGTTTTTACTTAAACACTATCTTCTGTCAACCACTAAAAGAAGAGAGCAGTTTCCTCCCGTCAAATGAACTGAAATGAGACCTCAACATATTGATCTGATATCAAACACTTAAAGAATGTTTGCAATTATATATCCTGAGTGTCAACTAATATCAAAAATCCAAATGATACAATTTTAAATCTTGCATAGAGTACATTACACAAAACATGAACGTCGGGTAAAAGCAGTATCTCAGGATTCGTTCAATCTGTCCTGCACAAAAGAACATATAACTACTTACATGTAATGTGGGAATTCATACATATTCAAACACTTCGGAAACAACTCATGTCACGATTAGATGGTGTGGAGACAATACATTTTAGAATAACATACTTCACTGGTCCCCAACTGTGGTAAGTGCAGCAGAGATAGTATTTGAGCTCCCTCTAGTGGTACACAGATGTATCTCTAAACTTTTTCTTTTTTAGTGAAATACATTCATTTAAAAACATAATACTATCAAAATACTAAAAACCTTTAACTAAAAAAAACCTACTTAAACTATTAAGTGTGTGAAATGTAGTTTAAAATAAGTTTTGCATTTCTTGTAATATTTTATATCAGCCTGCTACGTAATCACATTCATGCATGTA